CTTTCCGCCGGCGGAGGCGGCCTCGCTCTCCTTCCGCCACCTTCCCCCGAAGAAGAGCTGACAGCTCCTGCGACCCTCGAAGCCAATGCCCTTTGCAGAACGGCTCGCATCGGTTCCGGGCGCTCGCGCAGGACGCCGTGCACCCCCGCATCCCGCACACGCCCAGCTCCGCCCGAGCCTCCCCCGGGCGGTGCCGGCGGTGCGCTGCCTGCTCCCAGGAGCGCGGCGGCGGAGGGCGGCACGAGCCTCTCTCCGCCGCCGACGGGCCCCCGGAGGGCGGCCGATCATGTTGGGTCGGGCACGTCCTCCTGCAGGCCTGGCCATCGCTCGGACGCCCATCCCCTGTGTTTAGTTCGGTTTCGTGCGTGGTTTGTTTCGCAGGATGATCCAGGATGCTCCTTACTAATCCCCGCCGAGAAAAAGTACACACGTCCGAGCGATACCAAGAGGCAGAGTTGGAGGAGAAAAACAGAGAAGAACAAGCACATACAAACAAAATGTGTGGAACACACACTCGAAGCATCGTTCCCAGAGACTTTCTTGTGGACGACTCCCGGGCATTCCTGCTGCAGAGGGACATGCCCGACTGAACGGTAGGGGGACAGCGACACGTCATCCAGCGAGGTCGCACGCTCCAGACATGCCGTCGAGTAGTGGGCGAACGGAGGAGGCGCACGGGCAGCGCGAGAGAGCGCGCGGCCTAGGACGGGCATGTCTTCCTGCAGGCGGATGTTGGAAGAAAAATTAAAGACAGTAAACAAGTGCTCAAACATGCACAACAATAAAAGAAAAATCGCCCCTGGACTATTTTTTGCCTATTTTTGAACATTCCTCCTGTAGGGGGACAGGCCCGACTTAAAACGCGTGGTCTGGATGCACTGCTGCATCGCTGCATCCGCAGGCAGCGCACAGGCAGGAGGTGCAGACTTGCACCGAGAGGAGGCTGGAGGGAGACGGGGGGAGAGGCGAGGACCGAGGGAGACAGCGAGAGAGAGAGAGAGAGAGAGCGAGAAAAACTATCAAAAAAAACGAGAGAGAGAGAGAGAGAGAGAAAAGGGGTAGCCAGCGTATCCGACGAGCAGGCCCCACCACGGGCAGCGCTGCGCAAGGCCACGTCCGACCCAGCAGCTTGGGGAGCGGCTCGCTGCACAACTGAGGCGGGCAAACACGGCCGCGCGCGCATAGCGCTATCAAGCATCACTCGTGCCATTTGGCCATCAAGAGCAGCTGCCGACGGACAACTTCTGACTCCAATCGTCGCCAGGCTGGAGGTCCGGAGCCAGCCCTCGTGCATCGATGATGGATGCGCCGTCAGAGATCGACGTCCCCGTGCTGTGAACGGGGACGGAGCAGGACCGCATTTGCGACGACTCCGCTCCAGAGCTCAGTGCTCGTTCAGTGTCAGGCATCTGCTGTCCGGAGCTACCTCTCAAGATCTAGTAGGAGAGGAGCGAGAGCAGCGGCAGACCCAGAGAACTCTCGGAGGTCCGCCTAGAGCTCCAACATGTTATGCACATGTGTTTTTTATTATGTCGCGGGAGGCGAACGTACCCATATCCGCGCCCTCGCGGTCTGTATTCTTACCAGCCTGGAACATATCCCTATCCCTATGCTGGGCATCTCCTCATCACGATGCCAATCTTAGGGATTACCTTATTTTTTGAAAGCGAATCCCTAAGATTGTCATCGCCTTTTGGCGTGTCAATCTTAGGGATAGGGATAAGTTCGAGGCCGGTAATATTCTGGGGGCGAGCCCGCGGACTCCTGGACGCACGGATAAGGACGTCCCGCGACGGGGCATCCGCGAAGCGGCGCCCCGCGAGGCCGTGGAGCCGGGACACGCTCTTCGTCCCCGACTCGTCGAGCACGCTTGGCTGCACACAGCTGCACAGCAGAAGGTCGCCCCCCAAGAACCCCGCGGGCAGTGACAACAAACAAAAATTATGGAGGTTTCTCATGATGTTGGGAGCTCAGGGGCCCTTACCGGCCCTCAGGACCGTCAGAAAACGGCTCAGGACGAAAAACGGGTCCCAGGGAATGGGCCCAGACCTCTCAGGGTGGACGTAATGACACAATCATGTCCTCGGGGGGGTCTGGGAGGGTCCCCCCCGCTCCCATTTTGCGATGCGTGGGCCCCGGAGGTCCAGACCACTGCCCTACGGGGACAGTTTCTCGTTCTGAGTCGTTTTTGGACGGTCCCGAAGCCCAGCGAGGGCCCCCCGAGGCCGAAAACGGCCAGAAACCGCCCGCTCCAATACCGGCCACAAACATCCGAGAACCGGCCAAAAACGTGCGATGCTGCTACTCCCCGGACCTCTCGTGGGGTGCGTTCTGACCAGAGTGTCGAGGCGAATCCAGCAGTGGCGACGAAGGCCTCTTAGGAAGCTGAAAAAAAGAAAACGGGCGAAGGGTAGCGGTATAGGTACCTTTTTCTCACCTCCACGTTCTCCGCCCATGATCATTCGAGCCAGCACTGAGCTGCAAATCACATCGATGCCTCCTAGCTGGTGTCGGAATAGTTGTGGTCGGGAGATCGCGCAGGATCGCCCATACATCGGCGATGCATCGGCGATGCACCGGCGGTGCACCGGCGGTGCACCGGCGATGCATCGTCGACGTGGGCGATACCACATCGGGCTCCACATCGAGCCGCCTCGCCGCTGCATCGGCGCTGCGGCGCGATCCGCCGACCCCGTGCCACACGCGAGCGCAGCGGCCCCCTGGTGCGGGGCCAGCGGGCGCCGGCGAGCGCGCGGCGGCGGGCGGAGAGCTCGGGCGGGGCAGTGCTGGCGGGCCCCTTCGGGGAGCCGCCCGGGCTCGCCTGCGCACAGGAGCGGCCCCTGGGCAAGAACCAGAGATCCGACGCTCCCTCCTCCCTCCTCCCTCCTCCTCCGCCTCCTTCCTCCTCCTCCTCCTCCTCCTCCTCCTCCTCCTCCTCCTCCTCCTCCTCCTCCTCCTCCCTCCTCCTCCTCCTCCTCCTCCTCCTCCTCCTCCTCCTCCTCCTCCTCCTCCTCCTCCTCCTCCTCCTCCGTCCGTCTCTCCCAGAGATCCGACGCTCCAACAAAAATGGGAGCGGGCGGGTTTTGGCCGATTTCGGCCTCTGGGGGGCCCTGGCCACAGGCCTCGGGAGCGGCCACGAGACGACCCAGGACGAGAGGCCGGCCCATGGGGAAGTGGTCCGGACCTCAGTCCGGGGCCCACGCCTCGAAAAGACTGGAGCAGGCGGATGCCTGGCGGGGGGGGGCCTTTGGTGCGCGGCCGTGCAGCCATCGTGCTGCCACACGGGACGCTGCCGAACAGGGCACGAAGAGGGCTCCGCCGGCCACGGCGGGTCTCGGCCGCGAAGGGGGTGCTGGACCTGGATATCCGAGGGGCGCTGCCCGAAGGCCAGAGCCCTCCTGAGCCCGAGGTGGTCCTTCTGTCGGCGTCCTGGCTGCGGGGGGCCGCGGGAAGGCCAGGCCCGGGCGCGCAGGCCGCTGCGGGGGGGGGGGGGCCCTGCGCGGCGACAAGGGCCGCTCTCATGGCATGGCCGATGGGCGGCTCCTGCGAGGGAAGGAGGCCCGCGCCCAGCCCTCCGGCTGCCAGAGAGGCCCTCCGCCTGGGCATGGCGGGCCTCTCCTGGCCTGCCTGCCCGGGGCAGCATCCCGAGGCCACGCCGTCACCAGCCCACCGCCAACGCAGCACGCGTGCACGTTGGCCACACGTGCAGGCAGGCGCCGTGCCAGGCCAGATCCTCCCGCGGCGTGCACGGCAACATGGTTGGCCAGCGAGCCCATGCCTCACATGGTGTTTCGCAGGGGCAGTGTGTCCATCACCGCGTCGCGGGCCCTGAGTGGAGAATCCTCGGGGGAAACCTAAGAGGTTCCGATACCGCTACTCCTCAGACCTCTCCCGGGGTGCGTTCTGACCAAGATTTCGAGGCGAATCCAGCGATGGCGACGAGGGTTTTTAGGAGGCCCAAGAGGGGGAAAACGGACGAAGGGTAGCAGTGTGGGCACCTTTTCCTCCTCCGATCCTCAGTTCCCTTCGAGTTCTCTGTGTTGAAAAAATTGTGTGTGCTTCTTTCTCAGGGGGCCCAGGGCCCAGGTGCACGGGCGCTGTCTCCCTGCGGCTCGCGTGCCATTTGTCTGGAGGCCCTCGGAGCGCGGTGGGGATTCCACACTTCGGATCTGGCAGCCTGGCCTGCGGTGGACCCAAGACCGCTCTGAGAGCTCTCTTGGGCGCCTCTTGAGCCGTCGCGTCGGCGCTGGGGTCTCGCCACGGAGGCCCACATGATTGAAGCACCGAGTGTTTCCCCCCCCCCCTCCCCCCGTTTTTCGCCTTCTCGCCCAACAGGCCCCCAGGATCGCCAGAACGGCCCTGGAGGCCCCCACGAGGGCCCCCAAATCCCCCGATATGGCCCAAGAAGAGAAGCCCCCCCAAGATGGCCCCTCGAGACCGCCAGCAGGTCCGGAGAGATCCCCGACAGGTTTACCAAGAAACGACAAGAAGCTCAAAGAGACCTCCAAGATGCCCCCAGGAGGCCATAAAAATGCCTCCTAGAGGTCTTCAAGAGTCAACCTGAGAGACCCCAAGAGACAGCATAAAAGGCGGACAACCCAAGCACGGTTGCGGGTTGACCCGAAAGCAAGTCGGTGTTGTGATTTAAACGCTGTGCTGGCTAACGATCGCAACGGCAAGGCGCGCGGCGATCAAACTAATAAGTTTACATCGAGCACTTGTTAGATCCGCCGCGGCAAATCCCGAGGATGGGCGCCAAGCGCGCGTGTGCACGATGGCGCAGACCATCGAAACAAACTTTTGAACACATGATCACCGTCATGCTCATTCCACGTCAGGATCATGCAGGAAGGGGCGCGCCAACGACATCTGGGACCTGGGTCGGAATCCACAGAGCCCCAGCTGCGAACATGCTGAAAGCCCAGCGCCAACTGCCTTCTGCAGCGTCGCATCGGCATGGCAGGCTGGATCAGCCGCTGGGCATGTGCACTACAGCACTCCACAGCGCCACCTGGAAACAGCTAGCTCAGTCGTCCCCTCGAGGGGGAGAAGTGGGGCGTCGGCGGCGCAGCGGTGCCGGGCCGAAGCCCAGACCTAACATCGAGCAAAACACACATCGAGACTGGACCTCGGGCATGTGGACCTGCCGTGTGCGTAGGGGCGGCGACGGAGGCGCCGCCAGGGGGCCCCAGCTCCGATCCGAGAAATCCGCGCGGACCTCTGAGTTTTTATGTTTATGTCATTCTTCTTCGCTCCCCTATTCTTGTGGGAGGTTTCTCGTAGTCGAGTCCCTAACCGCAACTGCAGCTTGCGCCCTGAGGTCTCTTATGGTCGACCCCCCTCCCCCGCGCGCGGATCGCGCCAGCCATGGGGCATGGGGCTCCGGCACCGAGCTGAGAGATCCGCGCGGATTTCCCCGGAAGCGTAATGCTTATGCCGCTTGCTGTCCCTCCAGCTGCGCATGTACATCGGCCCTCCCCCCTCGTCACCCCTAGAGCGCGTTTTTATACTTTCGGCGATAATGGGCATTATTGGGGGGGGGAGGGGATTGGGGGGGGGGAGAATAATGTAACGCCTCCCCCTCGCCGTGTGCCCGATGCGCACGGCGGCAGTGCCCAGAGCACACCCGGGGGGGAGGGGCATTACGTTCTAGGGCGAGGGGGGGTCTGGGGCTATACGTAATGCACATTATGCCGCAAGCAATAAAGAAACACGCTCCTACCCATCCACTCATCCCTCAAACCTTGCCATCTCACGGACGTCCATTTCCTGTGCCTTCGTCGGTGTCGTGCGTTGTGCGTGTCTTGCTCCGCAAGGTGCTCCCAAAATGCTCCTGGATGGCCCAGATCCCCCGGCGCCGGCCACGCCGCACAGACACGCGCACGCCCGAGCGATGCCACGCAGCTGGCTCCCGACGAAGGAACGGGGGAAGGCCGGCGCACGTGCGCCGCAGCTGCCAGCTGCTAGTGCGCAGCGCGCGCCTGCCTCTCGCGCAGGGCCGCGGGGTCCAGGCTGCTCCTCCAGGGCGCCGGCCGCCCCGCGCCCAGCCCCGCGGACCTCGCGAGCAGGGGGCACGTCCACGTCCACGCAGGGCTCGAGCTACGGTTCGGTCGGGCGTATCCTCCAACAGGTGGATTTGGGAAGAAACATCCAAAAGAGTCGAAAAATGCTCACAAATAACTCGAACAAGGCGAAGCATCGTCCCCAGACTACTTTTTTTGACTACGTTTTGAATCTTCCCCCTGTAGAGGGACATGCCTGACTTAAATCTACAATAACAGTAGGGACTCGACCACAAGAAACCTCCAACAAGAAAACTCCAGCCCTGAGACCAGGGCGGTCACTGATTTTTGGCGTGGGCACGTCACGCTTTCCATAGCAGAACCATCGAAACCCAAGAAACTGGGGGCACCCTGGAGGCGAGCGGGGTGTTTCTTGGCATGCGTCTCCACTGTAACGCGTATCACAGGGATGCACGAGAAGGATGCCATGCCGACACTTTTCGAACGAGGCGCGGCCAGCGAAAGTGGCCAAGGATTGGGCAGAAGGGGAGGGATGCAAGGGAGACCCTGGAAAATCGCTCGTCCTTACAATCCGTACTATCCGTTGCTTTCCGTTTTCGCTCTGGTTTCGTTGTCCGTCGGTCTGCCTTCGCTCCTCCCCTGCCGCAAAACGAAACAAGAGCGAACACGGTTCACGAACTCGCCAAAACGCTGCGTAATTCGCGCCCTGCATCCACGCCATCGTTCGAGAAGCCCAAAACAGCACAAACGTGAACTGCCAGAGGTCCGCGCAGATTGCTTTGGATCGGCGCTGGGCCCCCCCTGGCGACTCCTCCGACCCCTGGCGCGCCCATCGCGCCGAGGAGGGGGGGCCAGCGTCTACCCAAGAAATCCGCGCGGAACTCCGACCGTTCATGTTATCTTTATGCAATGTGTAGTTCGTTGATGTATTCTGGGGGCGCGATCCCTTGGATGCGCGGTCGCATGGATACGCTCCGCGGCGGGGCATCAGCTACAAAAAACATCCAGTATCCATGGATCCGTGGGGTCGCGGCCCGGGGCCCTGGCCTGGGAGGCCGAGAGTGTGTGGAGATGTTTCCGTTTCCCGCCCACGAGCGAAGGGGAACGGTAGGTATGGACCTGCTCGGGGGGGAAGCATCGACTTGGAATCGACGATGCAGCGCCGATCAGGTCCCCAGCAGCAGGTCCGCACCTTCCTGAGCGGGGTGGGCTGCCGGGTACGCACCGGCGACACAAAAAACGAAGGGGGTCGACGCGACCCCCCCCCCCCCGAGGCCCATCTCGTGGTGGTTTTCGGATCCTGACACGGACCTCTGGCGCCCGTTCGGGACGACCCAGCACTCCAGGGACGCTCCCAGCGAGGCGCAGCCGTTGCAAGGCACCACGAGGCTGAGAAGCCGTCGAGAACCTCTGGCCTCGAACATCGAAGCCTCGACCCCCCCCCTGAGCTTATGCTCCCCTAACGTTGCCCCCGGACGAAGACCACCGATGCGGCTGCTCGGAGACCCCGATGCAGTCCGAGAGCGCCATCATCGCCTGTCGTGGGCAAAAGAACATATCCTTATCCGCGGCCTCGCTGGCTGGGCCCCCGGGCTGCGACCCCGCGTATGTGGGGCGTGTTTTCGCGGACGCCCCGCGCAGAACGTATCCGTGCGACCACGTATTCGCGAGATCGCGCCCTGGAGTCCAGACCGCGAGGACGTGGATACAGAAACGTGAGTTGTTCGTGAACGGAGAAAAACTGGCACATGCATAATCTGTCGGAGCTCCACGCGGACCTCCGCACAATTCCTGTATATGCCGTTAATGTGTTCCTCTGATGCTAGCCGTGCCAGCTATGCCAGATGTTGGGATCTGCCATCAGTTGCTCCTGGATCTGCCTTTATTGAGACAGATCTGTCAGACGCTCTGTGCCTTCTCGACGCGCCCACATGGACGACGCCGACACGCAGACCCGCGGCAAACCCTGCGCCCCCCCCACACCGCAGGCAGACGCGGCCACCACGCGGCAAACCCGTAGAAGGCCCCGCCGCGCCCGAGGCGGCGTCTGCCCTGGTGGCCGACGCGCCCTGTCCCCAAGACGGAGGGCCGCGCGTCGGCACAAGCGGCGCGGGGACCGATGGCCGATGCCGGAAAGCCTGACCTGAAGTCGGGCCTGTCCCAGGAGAGATCTTCAAAACTGGTTTAAAAAAATAGTCTGGGGACTGCTCTTGGAGTACTTGTTGTCCGTTTGGGCACATGTTTTGAGCATTCTCTATGCTTCGTCCAAGATCCCCTAATTAGGAAAGGGGGACGCCCGGCTGAAACCTGACCCCCCCAAAAGCTGTCCTCTCCTGGGAGGTCGGCTTTTGCTTCCGCCGGGTTCCGCCGAGCTGCCCCCCGGCTTCCGCTGGCGGAGCCGCCGCCGTCGACGGCGGCGGCTCCGCCAGCGGAGGCAGGATCCTGCCTCCGCCACCTTCCGCGCCCTCCCGCCGCGAAGGGGCGGCGTCCCCCTCAGTCCTCGAAGGCGAGGCCCTCCCCAGAGATCCGGCTCCTCCAATTTTTTCGATGCGTGGGCCCCAAAGGTCCGGACCACTCCCCGAGGGTCGGTTTTCCGGCCTGCGTCGTCTGTTGACGCTCCCAGAGGCCCGACGAGGGCCCCCGGAGGCCGAAAACGGCCCCAAACCGCCTGCACCAAAATTTTTGGAGCGTCGGATCTCTGGGTCTTTGCAACGCCTCATTCCCAGACCCCGACGTCGTGAATTTTTCAATTCGTCGACACCCAAAAGGTCTCGACCCCTCCCCCGGGACCGGCTTTTCGCCCTGAGTCGTTTTCCGACGGCCTCCCGAGGCCTGGCAAGGGCCTCCCGGGGCCGAAAATAGCGGCAAACCTCCCTTCACGAGTCTTGTCATTGCCCGCGGGGGGGGTCTGGGATGCCAGTCGCTCGCGAGCCTGGGTAGGGGCGAGCTCCACGAGGGGCAGCAGCTCCTGCGCGGCCCCGGCCCGGCCGCTCGCGGGGAGCTCGTTCTCCTCCTCGCCGAGCCTCTGCGCCAGCACCTCCCCGACGACCAGCTCGAACTCGAACTTCTCCTGAGAGGTTGTTGCTCGGTGCTTCGGTAGAGGAAAACAATTACTGAACACTCCCCCTCCCCCCAAACTCAATGTTGGCACTCGCGGGGGAGATTGTGGTCGAAGTGCATCTCATCAGACCCACCGCCAACTTTGAACATTAGGGGGAGGGGGAGGCGTTGATGGATGAATGTGGCATGTGTTCGCTAATTTGTTCCGAGGGGACCTGGGGCCGTCAGGAAACAGCTCGGGATGAAGAGCCGGTCCTAGGGAACGAGCCGAGGCTTCCGGGTGGGGGGTCAGTTATCCTGATATTACTATTGGTGACTTCCACGTAGCGCTATATCCACATTCTCTGCGCCTCGTCTGTTTTGGCACCCTTTCTGACAATGTCCAGGACGCCATGGATATGGATGCGAATCTTGCCCGCAAGTAATATCGGTACTCCTTCCTCAGACTCCGACCTCTTGGATATTGTTTTTGATATTTCCCCAAGGCGGCCGTTACCCTGCCGCCCCCTCGCTCTTCTCCGCATCTGCGGGGTGCTATGGTATAGCATAATCCCCCGAAAGCCGCCGGGGGCAGGGCAAGGGTCCTAGTCGCGGGCCTGGTATACAGCACTCTTCCCTGGGGCGCGGTTCCTGTACAATGAAAGTGGCCCTGGGAGCGGTGAAACCTGACTGGGGCGGGGGAGGCGTGGTACACATACAAAGAGGAACCAGGAACGGGGAGGGGCACGTCAAGGCGGGGGGGGGCGCTGCGATTGCCGAGATACACGCGCGAGCACCAACGTGTGTGGCAGGGTCCAGGCCCACCCCTAACGTTGGATCGTTACCGCTGCCCGGGCACATTGTCCGGCAGCCATCGTAGCACCAAGCCCAGACCCAACACGTCATAAGTTGTCATTGCGTCGACCCCCAAGGCCCCG